CCTTAGGGTTTGTACCCTGGGGTTTGGGTCCATAAGCCATGGAATATGGCCCTTAATAAGGGTATTTGGGACCCAAAACCTAGGGGTACCAACATTAAGGGTACAAACTTAAAGTCTTTGAAGGTTCTGATTCCCATGCTACCCCTGCCACAGGTTCCCCTTCAAATAATACCTGAACCCTAAGCCCTAAACCTTAATGTGGAAAAAGGCGCTGTAACAAACAATTGCTGCATGTTTATCAACAAGGGGGAACCTTCGGGGCGGATAGGGTATATATTGGGGTTATATAGGGATAATGGAAAACAAAACGGAAACTACTATAGTATATTGGGGTAATATTGGGATAATGGAAAAGAAAATGGACATTATGGTGATTATAGGGGACTATATAGTGGGGAGAAGCCGTGGGGCAGCTCATGACATGAGCTCTGGAAGTGTAGGAGGGAGGATGGGAGTCAGACTGGAAACAGAGCACCTTTTGAAGGGGTTTATGGGTATGTATGAGGGTGCGTGGGAATATGTAGGCATATGCGGGGTTAAGGATTCAGAGTTTTGACTTGAGCCGTAGGGTTTCAGGGCGTTGAAGGTTTGGAGCTTTAGTCAGCTTGCGGATATAGCATAAGATTTCGTTGTTTCATACTTCTGGGTCTTTTGCTTGAGGTTCACGATCATGTAGGGAGAGTTTTGGGAAATCTTTTTGAGAACCACCCATAGATGGTCTTGACTTGAGGGTCACAGTGCTCAAGGTCGCAGAGTGCTTCTTGTGAGAGTATGCAAGGTTTCTTAGGGATTTCGTGGGGATGTGATCTCGGATGATCACACATGACGATCCTACATTCGCTGGGGATTCTGTTGCAAGCTTGCTTGCTTGTTATGAGCATCATGAACGTCGGCATTCTTTTTGCTACTGCTGTTTATAAGCCCTAAATCCTAAACCCTAAGCCCTAAACCAAGAACCTTGTAATTCTTCAGAGTGGAACCCACAAGTCTCCTTACCATGCCGATGTATTCTTTGGGTCAGCAAGGTACCCACCCATCTTGAGGAACCCTACGCCCTAAACCCGAATTCCTAAACCCGATGTATTCAAACAAGTGCCTTTAAAGGGCCCTAAGGGCACCCCAATATATCGGCAAGTTGTACTACAACAATTAAAAGAAAACAAGAAAACCCCCGGATAACAATACCCCTGTGTGAAGCCCTGCGTACATCCATATAAGCCTCTCCAAAGGGACCTCAGGGCATCCCGAGACATCCCCATCACTTGCTTTAGAGGGACCTAGGGTATCCTTGTATATCTCCAACAGCGCTCATGGCATCTCATGTATGATGTACCCCCATCACCTTTAAAGGTAGGTAGGGTGCCCCTATTGAGCCCACACTTGAGCCCGAAACCTATCTACTGAGGCCGCTTCTGCACGAGCAGAGCCCCAATGAGGCTTGTATGAGTTGAGGGTTTAGGGTAAACACACACACACACACCGCCCACACACACACACACACACACACACACACACACACACCCGCGCGCGCACACACACACACACACACACACACACACCCATACGCGCACACACACACACACCCGCG